ATAATTATCAAAATGTACCAATATAAATCGTACATGGTACATTAGGCTACATGAGATTATATATAATGAACATAGTTTTGAAAAAGGGAAATACCATAATGGCATAAAATATTATATTATGTAAAAAAACAACAAAATACAACGTGCATGTATAAGAACGCAAAGAAAAAACAAAAAATAAAGATCGAGAATACAATTCAATACTAAGTAACAGATTAATGGTAACAGATAATGACTGAACACTTAACACACTCGGGTGCATATATACGTATCAACATATGATTAATTTAGATAATATTGTAAACTATAATTACTTAAATTCTATTTAACAGCAGATTTAGTTTATTAAAACTGCATTGAATTAATACAGGAATAACTAAAATCTTACTGAGAAAAAAAAATTACTACTTGCTAAGGAATAAAAATTTCATTGTATCTACTTTGATCAATGTATATAAATTAAATTTAATTATTTATATATTTCTAAAACCATTTTTGGGTTTTAATTCTACAATAAATTGTATAGAAATACAGGGCTCAGAAACGTTTTTATGACGTTATATATGTTAAAAGACGATTTAAATTAAAAACGCAAAACGTAGGTAATGAAAATCAGTAAATGCTAGTTTTAAAAAATCATGAAGCAAAACTATACAATAAACAATTATTGTGGTATATCAAAAAGCTAAATAAAATGACAGACGATAAAAATTAAAAACACATAAAAAGATAAAATATCTTAAACAAGAAGTCATATTCAAACGTTACTGAAAATTGGTTAATTTTGGTTTTATATATTATTATAATATTTTTATATTTATCAACAAGTTCACCTATTTTCTATGAGCAAAAATCGATATGAAATATTAAAAAAAAAATAATTACATGCCTAGATCCCATTATCAAAATGTATAAGTTATAATATAATGATAATTCATACTATTAGATGTTTAGGTATAAATAGTTAGATATTATTATATATAACATATATATTACATTTTAAAATTATATTTTTGGAACAATAAAAGATCTATTTTTAAACATACCTATATAAGTTTTTTCTTTATTTAAAAGTGGAAGTTACCTTAGACTCGTTATTTTGTAAATAAATTTATATTATTGTCTAGAAAATCTCTTTATCAAATTGATAATAGTTGTTAAAATTAATTTACCTGTAAACTAGTATTCAATAATTTATGTTTAGTGTATTGTAACTTTTCGTAGAAATAGAAATAACTTATTTAACTAATGCAAAATTTTAAAGTAACTATACCTATTATATTGATTAAATAAAAATAGGTTATTATTTTTTTTATAAATGAGCAATAAATTGAAAAAGGTTTGGCCTGTAATTAATATTTAATAACTAAACTAACTAAAAAAATTAATGAAAAGAGGGAATAAAAATATAAAATGGCTAAGACCTGCATACACCAGTCATAAGGAATTTTTTTTTTATTCAATAATTATTTAAAATATTAAATATAAAACTTTAATTTTTAAGTTTTAAGAAACTTCTGACTTCTGAGTATTTAACCTCATGAGTGTTTTTATATTTTAATAATACAACCCCATCTGGTATGAGATATATTGACATATAAAATTATGTTTAGCTAAATTAGTAAAAATTAAAAACTATAATGTTCAAATTTCTAATAATTTTAAATTTTTCATGGGTAAAAATAAATTTTAATTTTTAAGTATTTAAATATTTAAATTTTCAATAACGGATAATGTAAAAATGTATAATGTTTCAATTCCTTTCAACGAAAATTTAAAATGTGTAAAACATTTAAACCCCCAATAACAATAAACGTAAAATTTGAATAACATTATAATTCCCAACAATAATAAATGTAAACAATAAATAACGTTTAAATTCCCAACAACGATAAACGAAAGAAAATCAATAACGTTTAAACAATTTTTTTTAATTCGACCTCTGTTCAAATATTTGGCTCCACCAGAGGCGTGCGGAAGATGAACTACATGGTTAAAATATATACATTTTTTAAATTTATTAAATATTACATGCAGTAAATTTTTAAGAATTTGTTATTTTAGTTCGAACTACCAATTTAACTATTTTCATAGAATTCAAACTCTAAAAATAACGTTTTTGTATTATAATTATAGTCATATTATAGTATTATTATTATTTTTATTGGTAAATTGTATTTAATTGAACTATACAAGTATACTAATAAGAAAAAAAAAAGAAAAATGAAAGATTTCACCAAGAATTTAATTCTGAATTTTACATTTTGAATCAATCTGTATTTATGGTTATTGATGATGTACGAAACATTTTTATCAATACGCCGAAGCGTATGAAACAATACATAAAGGGAGTGCAAAATATTGTCCGTGCGTTTGAAAAACAAAAACAAGTTATTAAATACGTAATAGTTTTGATTTTTAACTATATTTGTAATTATTTTTATGAGCACTCGTTTAAATGTTGAGAAATTTTTTTAATGGATGGAGATCGTATGACATTTTTAAAAAACTTCGGCAATTGATTCCAGCTAATCAAAGTTAGAAAATTCTACATTTTATTTATTCACTTATTGGTTAATATATTTTACATTTTTATATGAACATTTTAAATTTTTGAACTTTATTTTTTATTTTAATAAATAATAATTGCATGTAAATCATAATTGTGCGGTTTTTGAATACCTACAACGATTTTAAAAAGTGTGCGGTTTTAACCCACCAAAAATGTGCTGTTTTGTTGGATATTTCATCTCAAGTGCGCGATTTTAGGAATCGACGATTAATTATTGTGCTAATAACCGTGATCAATTAAAATTAAATATTAATCTGCATGTTAAATAACCAGTACTTGGTATACTTATTAATGTAATATAATAATATAGAATGCCATGAGCAAACACTTATTTTTCATATTGTTTGGATAAAACAGCAATTCCTAATTCAAACGGTATACGTTTTAATTGTTAATAGAGTAATAATTGTTGTATAACGATAATTTATAACACAATACTGCTGCGGTTGCTGTATTGCTGCAGTACAATAATGAACGTATCTCGAAACATCTAGTCACGTCAATCGTTTACACTGACGTTTACAAACCCTTATGAGTTTTTTTTTCCGTCTTAACACATACCCGTAAACGGTACACAACACGTGCACTGCAACACGATTGCGCCCCGATCCTTTTCTACCTGTTAAAATCACAAAACCATTGAGCACCAAACGATATATGTATGTACTATGTATAATAATTTATGTACAATATAAAATAGTCTGTACAATACATACTTTCTATAACTTTCATATGCGTGCACTCAATCTTATTACCTATTAATTCACAATTCTCATTCCCAATTATCACAGGAATTACTTAGAAATGTCAATAAATTATCATCGTACGCTAAATGTGTACACCGACATAGTCAATAGTCGATATTTTTTTTATTAAAATATGTCATTTTTCTTTACTGAAAGTCATTAGGCGATATTTTTTCTTTGTTCATATAAATTATAATAATAATTAAATATTCGTATCGTAATATATATTTTAAAATTTGTAACTTGTTAAAAATTTTATTTGGTGACTAGCCCAAAAATGTGGTCCCATTGCTTGTAAAAGTCATTAATTGATATTTTATTATTTTTAAATTGTTCCCTAGTATCCATTATAAATTTAATGTAGCTTTCTTACTCTTTTCGGAATTTATTTTTTTCATAACATTTAAGTTTCATAACATTTTAGTTTGGATACCTAATAATATGTTTATTACTTAGAAAGCAGATAAACAAAACTATTAATTACAGTGCATTGCAGAATAGATTCTGGACCATTAGTTGTTCTAGCTTCTTTTGATGGTTTATCTGCCCATAAAGTTAGTGGAAATAGTGCATCGGTTTCTACATAGTTTTTTAAGTAAACAGTAGGAAAATCCAAAATTAGACGTATTAGACGTATTACACACATCATTTGGTGCACAATAATGTTGTGATTTTAACAGGTAAAAGGGGATCAGGGCGCAATCGTGGTGTAATTAGTCGAGTCAAAAAAAGAAAAAATTACCTATTCGTGTTGCAGCCAACACGTGTATGTATACTGTTAATTTTCAATACTTGAAAACAACATTTTTATACATATACATTTTTTCTTTTCAATAGAAATCGGTTACGAACATAAAGCATGCATTATATTTCTTAAAAGGTTGAGAATGGATACCCGAAGGAGGTTCGTAGGTTCGTCTTGTAGATTGTGACGCGAGTGTCTGTCCGCGAGAATACGTCGATCAGATAGAAAAATTACGAGCGGGACAGGTCCTTAACAGGTTTTTTAAGGCAGGAATGACTTTAAGGGTTCGGGTAGAATATGCACACGTGCACTGTTTGGTCTTATACACCTACACCGTACCGTGCAGTAGAACCGAAAAACTGAGTTTTTCGTCGACGAAACGACTTGTACGTCGAAACAATAATGTCAAACCCCAACAATTTAGTCCCAATAATTAAGCGATCATATCCCATTTTCAATTCAACATAATAGTGTTCAAAGAAAACGTTGTTGCATGAATGCAAATCATCGGAATGAGTCCCAGGGTATGGTCGTCATGTCCGTTGGACTCTCGGATGAACAACATTGGCGCCCAAAGGTTACTTTTCAAGGGTTAGGGAAAAGAGGCAAACTTAAAAAAATTCTCAAATTTAAACTAAATAAAGGTTTTTTATTATTTGTTATAATAATATATATATATAAAATACATGTTATTATGCATTTTATACTAAATACTAATAATAATAGTGATAATAATGATGTTTTTAAATAAATTAATAAATTCATATTATTTTTCCAGGGGGAGGAAACCCGTCTTGCCCCACCACCCGCCGATGGGCGACCGTGGTAAGCAATATACTCGTCCCGACACACACCGTGAGCAGATCACATACGGAGGGAAAAAACAAGAGAAAGGGTTACGGAAGAGGTAGAGACGATCGAGTCGGAACGCACGTACCTGAACTTGGAACAGGGGTGGATGACCCAGACGCCCAAGGACCGTTGCCTGAGCCGCTCTTTGACCACGGCTTTCTTGCTGCCGTAGATCTTCATGGACAGCCGGTTCATGGACGGTTCGAACACAGTGTGCAACCGGGCCAAGACACCCGTCCGCGGCTGACGGTGCGGTTGGCTTTGACGGTGTTTCCCGTCGTACGTGGCCGCACCACCACCCTCGACGGCCGCGTGCTGCGACGACGAGCCCCGGGACGCGGCGTCCATGCCGCTGCCTCCACCGACGTCGGAATAGCCCGCGTACTCCGGGAAGCCCGGATACCGCGAAGTCTCGTCCATGGTGCAGCAGTCGTCGTTGTACGCGCGATGGCCACCGCGATAGCCGCCGGCGGTCGACGTGCACCACCCCCCGGGAACCGGTGGCGTCGAAAAGCGGCGGCGTGCGAGGAATTATCGGTGACGGCGAAACGCAACGATTATGATTTGATGGGACGCCGAAGGGCTGGTGCGGAACACTCGGTCGCGTCGTATATTACGTCACTCAACACAGCGATG